AGCTCAGACTCAGGCTCAGTGTAGCCCTGGGGTAGAGCAGCCCGGCTCTTCCATCCCTCCTGCCAGGGTCCCTCCTGCCCGCACGGTGCCGCGCTGTGCCGCACAGCACCCCGCCGCTTGCCCTTCCCCAGGTGAGCGGTGCCTGGGGGGCTCGGTGTGGGGGTGAAGGGAGCGGGGCAGCGCCTGTGCACTGGGGTCTTGGGGGCTCACAGCCTGGTACTTACTTGGTCGGAGGGCAGGGCACAGAGGCGAAGGTGGCGGTGCCGGTGCCGGCTTTTCCCGTGGCCCTTTATAGGCGGGCGCTGAAGTGCCGATGGTGCAGGCGGTCAGGGAGCTGTGTCAGCAGGCAGGGGCCGGCGGGGGGGACGGGCTGCTCACCCACCCCAGACTCCGGCTGTCCATTCCACTTAGGCAGTGTGGCGAGAGCGGCCCCCCCGCGCCCAGCGAGGCTGACAATGAAAGTGCTGGGCTGTGTTTGCGCAGGGGCTCAGGGCACAATGGGCAAAGGGCCTGACGCGCCGCTTTCCTTTCTGCCCCCGGACAATGTCCCCGCTTGGCCCAGGGATTAGGGACCCAGCCTTTCCCAGGGCACCCGCAGCCTTTGCCAGGGTTGAGGCTTGTGGGAAGGAGGTGCCAGGGTGAAGTGGGGATTTGCCATCTGGGAGCTGAGGGGCACTGATGTCCTCACTGTTGGAACACAGGGCTTATCTGGGGCTGCTTCTGCCCCTCCACACGGAGCTCTGCCACCATGGCTGCCTTTTCCAGCCAGGCCCTGCAGGGTTTCCCGTGTTGGCTGCAGACTGGGCGCTAATAGACCCCAGTTACATGCTTGTAATGCCCTGAGCACTTCCCCTGGCTTGATAAAGAGCTCCCTGTGCTCCCATTCACCTCCCGCTCGGGCAGGGGACACTGCACAGGGGGAGGGGACCAGCCTTGGGACAGATCCGTGTCTTTCACCTGGACAAGAGGACCAGCCCTGCCCGGAACTGCACCGTGCCATGCAGCTATCCCCGATGTCTCCTACCGGCACCTGGGATGGATGAGGCCAACACAGGCTGGAAAGGAGGAAGAGTGCCCTGTTGAGCTGTGTTACTTGCAGCATCCCCGTGTAGTCTGTGGTGAGGCCGGGCACTCCCAGCTTCAGCTGGGCAAGTGCCACTCTGGCCACTGGGCAAGGGCTGGACCTAGCACCTCAAACCTTCCCAGGAAAACTCCAGCCCTTCTGGGGGTCCTGGGCATGGGGTCAGCATCACAAGAGACCCGGACATTGTTGGTTATGGGGAATGCAGTGTGGACAGCTAGGGGTGGTGTTAGTACGTCTGGCATCAACAAGAATCGGGGACGGAGGGGTGACAGCAAGGACAGGCTGGGGGCAGGACTCGGGGGTCCTCTTTGTGTCCTCCCCAGTGCTCGAGGGCTCCGAGGCTCGGTGAGAGTCCGCGCCGATGCCTGCGGGTCCCAGCAGAGGGTGCAGCCTGGCAGCGGTTGGAGCAGGCTCCAGCTCAGGGACATTAGTGGCCCTTGGCCGGGGACAGGCGCTGGGGAGGCGACCCTCAGCTTGCGTTGCCTGAAGCGGTCCTAGCAGGGAGGGGGAGACCCTCTGAAAGCTCTCTGGGGAAGCAGAAGGTGGAGGGAAGGATAGGCATGCTCCCTGGAGAAGGAACAGCACCCCGATGCAGCCTCGTGGCCTGGGGACATCTCTCAAAATGCTGGGAGATAGGTCTGGACAGTTTAAGGAAGGCATCACCTTGGTGAAGGTGAGGAAAGATGCAGAGCTAGTGGACTGCAGGGACCCACGGTGCTGCCACCTCTTGCCTGGGCTGTGTGAACAGAGGTGTGGGGCACTGCTTAGTGCTTTGTGTGCTTGAGGCATGAGCGCAGCTGGGGACTCTGAGGTGCAGGGCAGGTGGGGTATGTTACAGAGTGCCGGTACGTGAGGCACCACAGAATACGTAGGATGCTGTAAGCTGTTATAGGATGTGCATGTGGAGGGTGTGGGGCACTGTATGGTGTGCTGCAGGATCTATGGGGCACTGGCTGTGCCATGAGGAGCATGCAAGCCCTTCAGTCATCCCCATGCAACATTTTGGATGAAAGCACTGGAAGGGGAATGGTGCAGGGGAGCACTGTGCCCCTTCCTTGTTCCTCAGCACGTTGTACTCACTGGGATGTGCCTCGCCTCCCGCTTGGTACATTCAGGGCAGCCACATGGCAGCCACAGCCACATCAGGGCACGGCAGATCACTGGGGTCACTCACGAGGAGCCCTCCAGTACTGCGTCCCAGAATGCAGTTACAGCCTGTCCTGCCCAGGCCATCTCCAGATAGTCTCTGTCACCAGCCAGCATTCCCCTGGCTAGGTCACCTGCAAACCCCCAGCCACACCTGCCCAGCTGGGGACAGGGCCAGAGGGAGGCTGCTGCGGGGGCTGGCAGTGACTTGCTCAAGGGCAGCTGCTAATACTGGCTGTGGGAGCTGCTTAGCACTTGCCCAGGGCCTCCTGCATAGGCTAATTTAATAAGGGCCCCTCGTGGCTCCCGGCTCAGCTTGTTCCCTGCACTAGCAAAACAGATCATGTTTCTCAGTGCCACTGGGCACAGCACGGCAGCCAGCAGCCCGGGGCCATGGTGGGAGCACAAGGTCACCCAGGTGCTCCATGCCAAGCCCAGACCAAGCCAACCATGGGGTTGTAACCCCATGCCTTGTGCAGGCACTGGTCCCAGGACAGTGCACAGCTGAGGGAGCCAAGCAGGCTGAAAGGCAACCACAAGCCAGGTGCTGCCCAGGAATCCTGATGTTGTATCCGTTGATGTTATGAATATCTGGGCTAGCTGACCAAGGCAGCACAGCTGTGTGCGGTCCACCCAGCTGCTACCACAGGCTGAGCTCTGGTCACACCCTGCAAGCACCTCTAGCTGCTCTCTCCTTCTCCCCAGCCCTGCTAGGGGCTGGACTGCCACCCCAGGGGGCTGGAGGTCTGGGGGCTGGGCCAAACAGGAGCAGATGGAGCTGGTGCCGGCCCCTGTTTGTCTTTCTCCCAGTTGCCTGGTGCTCTGTTTGTTCTGGGGATGGCTTCCTGCTGTCAGGGCCAAAACAGGTGGCTTTTATTTACAGGGTCTGGCTGATTAGATCAGAGGTGATGTGCCATTGCCCCCACACAGCCTCACTTCTCCCTTTTTCCTCCATTTTCTCCCCCAGCCTCATTTCTGTGGGAAATCATCCTCCTTGACGAGCATGCAAACACTCTCCTTCTCTCCCCAGTCACCTGTACTTCAGGGATTCTCTGAACATGGCCACACTAGGATTGGTTAATCTCAGCCCAAACCCCTGCTTCCACCTGCTGGATCCCTGGATCCCAGAGCCAAGAAGGTTGTTGGGATCCCCAGTGCCACTTGTCCCCTCCAGGAGCATTGCTGGCCACAAGAGCCATGTGTGTACAGGCACACAGCTGCCACAGAAGCCTCCTCACACAGGCACTGCCTTGCACAGGGAGCCCTGGCACATGCCAGCTGCCCCACATGCACGTGTCCCCTGTGCACCCATCCACCCCATCCCTGCAGCCAGAACCTCCTGGGATCACAGAGAGCCTGGCAGATGTTGCTGGGATTAGCTCCCACGCAGGCGCACACGCACACCGCGGGCTGCCAGCTGTTCCATGCTGGGAGAAATCACAGGCACTCGGATTCCCCCAAGGCTGGGCTCCCCGAATACCAGATGCAGCTTCTGCTGCCCCCAGGGCAGAATGAGCCCAGAGACAGAGGAGTGCACTGGGGACCAGGATGTTGACTGGTCTCAGGGTACTGTCACCAGTAGCTAGGGAAGGGCAGGGACACAGTGGAGGTCACAGCAAGTGGGACACAGTGCAAGGGGTACCCACACGTTCTCACAGCTGGGTCTTGCAAACAGCTGGATGAGATGGTCCCCCATGCAGCAGCCCTCACCCCAGCCTCAGATTTCCACAAGCGCCTCAGCCAGCCACCAGTACCCCCACTGGAACCTGCTCTCCAGATCTGCCCACCTGCTGCCCCCACTGGCACCGTGGCCACCCCAGGCCCCCCCCTCCTTGTGGGACTATGGCTGCTCACTCTTCCCTGTGGCACCCACAGCTCTGGAGATGCACCTGCAGCAACCCACCATGACAAAGGATACTCCCAGGTGAGACACAGGCTCACCCTGTGCCACCCATTCCTGATCTCACTCTGGCTGCCCCCAGCATGGGGGTGTGCTCAGTCCCCAGCTCTGCCAGCCTTGCTCAGTCCCCACGAACTGCCAGGGGAGCTGTGGCCTCACCTGCCTGCTCCCCACTGTTCCCATGGGGACTAATCCCACCTGAAGGTCAGGGAGGCTCAGCCAGCTGCTTACCTCCTGCGTGTGGATTACAGCCTGGGTGTGAGCAGGTGGCAAAGGCTGTCTCCCCAGGTTGG